TTCCCCCCCCCCCCCCCCCCCGGGGGTTAAAGGTTTTAAGGATTCGGGCTCCCAGGATTGGGAGTCCCCCCCCCTTCCCCGTTTTTAAAAGGATACGGGGGGGGTTGGCACCCCCCCCCCCCCCCCATTCCCCCCCCCTTTAAATTCCCCCCCCCCTCCCCCCCCCCCAATTTTCACACGATACGACGGTCCCCCCCCCCCCACTCCCACAGCCCCTCCCGTGGAGGAAAAACAAGAGGAGGTCCTCCTTGGAAGCCTTCACTTTCTCCAAGGGCGTCTTCCAGCTGGCTAGCCCCGCCAACGCTTCCACCGCCGGCAGCGTCAATCTCGGTAGTGGTGCTTTGACGGGAACTGGCGTGGCCGTCCCGCCTCCTCCCGGAATGTGAGAGGAGAGCTCGAGAAGGGTCGTGTAGTGTGTGGGGAAAGTGACAGGTTGAGAGGAGGTAAAAGCGGTCGTTTGTGGGGTTGTTGGGGTGTGGGAAACGGGAGAGAGGGGCCGAGTAGGGTTGTGTTGGTGTGTGTTGTTTATTGGGGTGTGGAGAATGTAGTAAGAGCGGTTGCAGTAGGGCTAGTAGGGTGTGGGGAACCGGAGAGGTCGAGGCAGCAGTCGGGTTGTGTGGTGCGGGGATTGGGAGAGATCGAGGAGAAAGTAGTGGTCGTTTTATGGGGTGGCGTGTTGTTGACGTGGGGTGCGAAGCTGACTGCTGTGACGACACATTGAGCGTAGAGTACTGTAGCCGTGTAAAGGTATAGATGCATTCCGAAGCGCTGTTTCCCATGCATACGCATGATGGCGCAAAGGGGCACAAGGCGGAGAAGCAGGCCGACATGTTAGGGTCCGCTGCGTTTTTTTTCTTGCTAACCACTTCAATAAGTCTCTAATCGCTGATTTTTGGAAGTCTGACAGTGCTGCTGCTGCTGCTGCTGCTGCTGCTGCTGCTGCTGCTGCTGCCGCTCAATCTTGAAACTACCTTCGCCGTCTACAAACAGTTGTTTGGTCGACCAGGCTAAGGAGCTGCAGGCCAGGAGAAAGTACGAGGTCAGCCTGAGCGAGAAGGCCCTCGCAAAGGAGAAGAGCCGGAGCGGGAGCGGGGAGCAGCACGGCCGAGTAGTTCCCGAGGTATCATCGTCAAGCATGGAGCAGAAAAGCACCGGTCAGGCGGGAGGAGAGGTCGAGGAGCAGCAGGAGGAGGAGGAGGAGGAGCGTAACAACAACGCGGGGCAGGAAGAGCCGGACCTTTCTTCGGAACGGTCCTCTTTGGGTGCCGGTTCGGGACAACAAGAAGGACGATCTTCTTCTTCGCCTTCTGCTGCTGCTCCTGCTGCTGCTCCTGCTGCTGCTGCTGATGTGCAGGCTTCTCTTCCACAGCAGCAGGAGCAGCAGCACCAGCAACAGCGTCAGGAGCAGCACCAGCAAGCGACGGCTGTGCAGACCTCTCTTCCACAGCAGCAGCAGCAGCAGCATCAGCAGCAGGAGCAAGAGCAAGCGGCGGAGGCGGCAACCTCGGCGCCGGAGTTGACGCCGCTGACGTTCTTGGGCCCGGGCTTTTCGTCGGCATCGGCGGCGGCCGCTGCCGCCGCCGCTGCCACTACCAACCCCGCGTCGTTCTCCTTCTCCGCCACCTCCTCGGCCTCCTCCGGTTCCCGTTCTCCCGTCGGCGGCAGCGGCGGCGGGGGCTCCGCGTTTGCGGTTGCTGCCGCGAATCCCCCCGCTCTCGTCGCGCCTCGGCATGGGTCCGCGTTTGCCGTCCCCGTGAGAAACGCTTGTCCTTCGCAGGCGGCGGCGGGGGCGGCGGCCTCTTCTTCGACGGTTGCCCTCGATGGCGGCAAGAGCGGTAAGATCAGCAACGGCGGCATCCCGTCCAGAGCAGCGGGGACGACGGCGGCGACCGTAGCGGCGGCGCTGCGGCGACGGCGGCTGGCCGCGGCCGCCGCCGCTAGTTCTTCCTCCTCCACCTCCTCGTCGACTACGATCGCCAGGCCAAGGGGCACTGTAGACGATCCCTCGCAGGTGACCACCGCCGCGGTGATGATGAGCGAGGCTTCATCCCGCCCGCGTGCCCCCCCGCCGCCGCCGCCGCCGCAGGCGCAGTCGCCGCAGTCGCCGCAGTCGCTGGCCCCGGCGCCGTTCGCCCCGCTCGGCAAGAAGCAGAAGGCGGCCGCCGCCGCCGCCTCCGACACGGCGAGGACGGGTGCTGCTGCGGCGGCGACGGCGGCAGGAGGAGGAGGAAGAGGGAAGCTGCTGCTGCGGCCGCCGCCGGTTCGTTGTGGCGGCGAAGAGGAAGGAGCGACTGCTGTTTCGGAGGGGAGGCAGCAGGCTGGGCTGTCTTCTTCTTCTTCTTCTTCTTCTTCTTCTTCTTCTTCTTCTTCTTCTTCTTCTTCTTCTTCTTCTTCCCACAAACATCAGCAGCAGCAGCAGCAGCAACAGCAAGTTCTTCCCCCGCGGCTGCTAGGCCCGGCGGCGCGGCGGCGAAGCTTGGTCTCCGTGAGCCCGAACACGAGCAGCGGCGGGAGCGAGGTCGGGGACGACTCCTTCCACAGCGCGGCGAGCAAAGTGAGCAACAGCAGCTGCGCCACTAACGGCGGTTGCGCACCTTCCAGTGGGGAGTCCGAGCTTGTCTTGAGCGGCGCCGGTGGTACCGGCGGCGACGGCACGGCCTTGCGGGTCGCCTACCGCCCCCGCGGGGGGATTGCGTTCGGGGATAAGCCGTGGCGCGACGCCTCCCCGGCGCAGCCGCCGCTGCCGCTGCCGCCGCCGCCGCAGGCGGCATCGGGAAACCATTCCAAGGACGGCAACAAGGTCGGAGGCGGCAGCGGCAGTGGCGGCGGCGGCGAGGTCGCCGGGGATCATGCGGCGGCAAAGATGGCGGGGCTGAGGCGAGCCGGAGGAGGGGTCGCCGCGGATGGGTTTTGGCGCTTGGGGGGGAGGGCGGCGAAGACTGCGCGGGAGGAGGGGGGGGGCGGGGGCGGTGATCCCGAGAGCGACCAGGGGTTGGTGGTGAGTGAGTAGAGGAGGATGGTAGTTTTAGTTTTAGTTTCGCCATCAGGTGCTGCTGTACGCGATCGATGTGTCTGTTGTGGAAAAAAAAACAATGGGTGTTGTGCGTGTCGTGGGAGGAGGCCCGGTTTAGTGGTCCATCGTAGTATCACAATAAGTTATACCCGCTGTTGAGGGCGTCGCCGCTAAATCGGATTGGGAGTTATGTTGTAGCTTGACTACCGAGATGAATCCGTGCCACGAGATTTTGGAACCGCAATGTAAATCAAGGGCACCGCCGCTAAACCGGACAGTTGTATTGTAGAAGTAGTTCGACTACCGAGGTGAAGCCGTACCACGACATTTTGGAATCGCTATGTAAATTCAGGGAATCCCGGCTAAACAGGGAACTGCTAGGCTATAGAGAGGGACAACGACTGTCGTGGGTGTTTTCCTTAACCGTTTGTCTTCGCTCGGTTGAAAGCAAAGACTCGGCTACTACCGTCGCCATCAATATTGAAATGTGGCGCGGTCTTGTCATTACGGATGGAAGGAACCCCGTTGGATAATGGACTTATTTTGAATCTGTTTTGTGCATGATACGCATGTGCACTGAACACATGTTTTCTCGTCTTGTTTTTTCGCCTGTCCTCCAGGTGAGCAGAGGGGTGTCGGTAACGGCCGACGTGCACGTTCCTTTTGCGACGGTGGCGGTCACGAGGGGGGGCAAGCTCTGCGGGAGGATCGTCGCCAAAGAGTTCCTGCTCGAAGACGGTGAGCTTCATGGCCTGTTGTTTGTTGTTGTCTTTTTTCTTGTTGTTGTTCGTTTGCTGTCCAGTTCGTTTCCCAAGAGAATATTTACAAAAAAAAAATGCTTGATTCAAAAAGAAATGTACATCAGCCCTAGGCCCTCTATCTCAGTAAGGCGGGTATGCGGCAGACCGATTCACCCGCCCTATTCACTGCAGTAACCGTCTTGGAGTAGTTCATTTATCCCGCACTATAGCGGGCACCCGCCGCATATACACCCGTTTTGACGACTGTGGGTGTCTCGTGATGCAGACTGCTGTAGACCCCCGTTTTGACAAAGTGTACCCTTTTTTCTCTTTCTTCTCTCCCTCTTTTTTTTTTTTGTCTTGTTCTCGACTCTTGTGCTCCAAGAAAAAAACAAAATATCAATATTTCAAGAAATTAAACAGCATACCAAATCCAGATGATTATTAGTAAATAACATACAATTGTACTCATATTGTTTTGTTTTGTTTTGTTTTGTTTTTTTTGCTTCGTGAACAAACAGGTGGCCGCGTGGAGGGGGAGGTGGAGTGCGACTTTGCCGTGATCGAAGGGTCCCTCGAGGCGTCGCTCGTGTCGAAGGAGATGGCTACGGTAGGCCCTTCGGCCAGCATCAACGGGGACGTGATCTACAACGTGCTCGAGCTAGACCGGGTAGGCTTAACAATACGCTTTGTTTATATTGTTGTTGTTGGTGGTGTTAGTGCAAGTGTCAGTGTAGTTGATTTTTTGTTGGTTGTTTGTATTGGTGGATGATCTACAACGTGCTCGAGCTAGACCGGGTAAGCTAGCAACCTCTTGTTTGTGTTGTTGTCCTCGGTGTTGAGAGTGATGGTAGAGCGGGCAAGCTTAGCATTCTCTTGTTTTGTTGCCCTCGTTGTTGAGAGTGCTGTTGTTTCTGAGTGTGATATCTTGTGTGCTGTTTGTGTTGTTTTTTGTTTTATGTTGGTGTTGATGATGGTGCTGCTGGTGTCCATAATAATGCTCCTGGTGTTGTCTGCTGCTGTTGTTGATATATGCCCTGCCAAAACCAGGAAAATAAACAAATGAACAAACCACGCAGGTAACGGTAGTCTGGGTGTGGGTCACACAGAAAAAGGGCTATGAACACCGCAACACGGGTCTGCGTGTTGTTGCTGGTTATTGGTCTGTTATTCCATCATCTTCGGGGCATGGCTTCACAATAGGCGCCCCTTGTCCTACTGTTTGATTTTTCCTCTCTCTGATGTCTGTCGTTCACGCATCGATCCATAGGCCGGACAGACTCTGCGCGACATGGGCTAGCAAAAGACGGCTTTGTTCAACGTTCCTAGCCTCTGTCGGTTCACAGATGGATGCATAGGCCAACAGCATTCGTCCTTATCTTGGACCACTCCCACTATCTTGCTGCCTCTTGTCGGTTCGCAGGGTGCCATCATCACGGGCAGGCTCTTCTCCATCAGGTCGACAACAGCAGACTCTTCCTCGTCCTGTTCGGTGCCGTGGGGAGGGGCACCGCGACCCTTGCCGCAGGAGGAAGAAGAAGCCAAACAGCTCCGGCTAGAGAGAGAGCTAAAACTCGCCATGGCGGAAGATGGCGCGGGACCCGGTGCTGACCGTTCCATCCCGAAGGGTGAGGTTTGTGTTCCGGTGTTCGTGTGTGTGTGTGTGTGTGTTTTTTTTTTTTTCCGTCTTGTCTTTTTTTTTTTCGTTTTTTTTTTTTTGCACGACCAAATTGCCTCAACGCCGCCAACAGCATATCGCCGGGGAAGAGTTTTCCCTTTTGATGGCGGGCGCGAGCAAGACCTGGCCGTCAGTCTACGCAGCAAAAATGATCAAACAAAATATGGGATAAAGTATGCAATCCGTGCTTTGGGGTTAGGGTTAGGATTACGGTCTGCGTGCCCCCTCCCTAATATTTTCCTAGATACTGCTGTTAAAATAAAAAAGCGTAGTATGGGATGACCGTTCCATCCCCAAGGGTGAGGTTTGTGTTCCGGCGGGGTTGCTTTTTTTAGGTCTTGTCGTTTATTTGTTTGTTTTTCGATTTGTTTCATGTTTACGCGCCGCCACATGACTTGCTCAAGTCCGGTACCCAGCCGGTTTTCCTCCACTCACTAAAAAGACTTCAACACCTCCGCCTGTCGACTTTTTTCTAATGTTTGCGCGCCGCCACATGGCCGTTGCAACCCTCTTGGGTTGTGTCGGCCACCCACAAGCCGTCACGTTGCGCTTGACTGTTGCGACCATATGCAGAGTCAAGGGCCCCTCTATAGTGCGGGTTTATGCCAAGCGCTTTCAACTGCGCTGTTCAACGCATTAACATTCTTGAGTGTTCCATTCCGGGCACCCGCGCTGTAGACGGCTGTATGTTGATGTATCCCTCGGCTTCGTCTATTGCTCTCCCTGCGTACCACAAGACATACAGCCGCCAATGAGGACGATTACGAGCCATATCACCTTACGCTTGACCGTCGCAACCAACCCTCTCACGCTGATGCTGGCTCCATCTCTATTTTGCCCTTGACCCCCCGTCCTCTACGACAACATGACACACAGCCGCCGATGAGGACGACTACGAGCCATATATCACCTTACGCTTGACCGTCGCAACCAACACTCTTGCTATGCTGATTTTGTCTTCATCTCTCTTTTTGCCCTTGACAAGAAGACACGGGCGCCGATGAGGACGGTTACGAGCCCGTCATCATGAACTCCGAGTGGGCCTCCGCCCGCGGCTCCCCTGTCGACCCCGATCTCCTAATTCAATCGGCAAACCCTACCCCTGCCCCTGTCGGGGGAGAGCAATCCAGCGGCCGTGGAGGCACCGCAGTAGCAGCAACACAGCAGGGTTCTCGTGCCGGTTCGGGTGCCGGTTCGGGTGACCGGAACCCGCCGACGGCCAGGCAGCCGGAAGTCGCGCCGGAAGAGGCGGTCGTGGAAGAAACCGTGGCGGCGGCGGCGGCTGTTGCGGGGGCTGCTCCTAAGGTTAGCATGTTTTCTTTTTTGTCTTTTCGGGGCACAAGCCTTGGAATGCTGGGTAGATTCTGTGAGTTTTTTTTTTTTTGAACTATCACCACCCAATATATATATATATAAATAAAAAATATGTGAAAAATATATGCATTTTTTCCTTTTTCAGGGCACAGGCCTAGGGATGCTGGGTGGGATTCTGGGGAATTGTTTCGTTCACATTTTGGATCCCCGAACATGTGGTACGGAATACTTCGACCATTTTTTTTTCAGGGCACATGCAACACCACCTCTTTTTTTTGTTTCTTGTCTTGACTTCGAATCAGCGCTCACAGCACTTGTGCCGTTTACTCCAACCCGTGTTTACACAGAAGGGTTCCTCTCTGCCGTCCCCTCCTGCAGTATATACTTTGCCTTCGATTTTTATTGCGAGAAGAGTGCAGCACTCTCTTCCCTGTCTGTGTACACTCGATTTGGCGCGCCGTCCGCCGAGGCCAGGAACGGAAGCGAGAGAAAAACTCAAGTTTGCAAGAACAAGCCCGCTTACGCCGGGATTCGAACCCCTGCCGCCGCTGGCCACAATTTAGACCATGTTCGAGGATATCAACAAACTAGAGTACCGGGGCGACCGGATGCGCGCCTTACATTTACGGTATTATAGTGGCATATAGAGGCACGAGGAGAATAGGACAATATTTAGGGCAGTGCCACTACAATTCGATACGATAGTCTATCGGGTTCATGTATCATACCACATGTTGAGATTGTGACAAGAGAGATTTTGATGCCACTTGATATCGGGCATTTCACTATTCAGGGTGCCACATAAGAAAATGAATTAATTTACTCATGCACAACTTCGCCTGTCAACAACAGCTGCAGCACTACCGGAACCACGAGAAAGGGTATTTCATTTTTCAGGTTTGGGGACGCAATACATATGGAGACCACGACTGTACTTTTTTTTTCCATTTTTTTTTTGCAGAGCAGTAGTGGTCCCAATAAGAGAACGTAACAGATGCCCACTATTCAGGGTGCCACTATTTGGAGACCACGACTGTACTTTTTTTTCCTTTTTTTTTCGGTCGTGGCCCAGAAAAGAGACCGTAACAAATGCCCACTACTCAGGGTGCCACTGTATCGGGACCACAACTGACCTTTTTTTTTGACATTTTTTTTTTTTTGCAGAGCAGTCGCGGCCCAAAAAAGAGACCGTAACAAATGCCCGCTACTATTCAGGGTGCCACTATATCGGAACCACGACTGACTGTACTTTTTTTTTCGCTTTTTTTTTTTGCAGGGCAGTCGTGGCCCCAAAAAGAAAAGTAGACCGTTTCAAGTGGCCTTTCGCCGAGATTCGAACCCCTGACCCTGCCCATTATTTCGAAGGCTTTCGAGGATGCCAACTAGACTCCCGGGGCGACCGGATACGCGCAATTCATTGCGTCAGAGAAGGCTACCAGTATTTCCACGATTTCCCGACCAGCACACAAGCGCGATATCCCCCCTGTTTTTCCTTTTTTTTTTTTTTTCATTCAGAGCACGAGCCTCGGCCTGCTCGGCGGGGTTCTGTGGGAGACCGTTCTGGACGGCGTGGCTTGGGCAAACAGGCGTATCTCAGCGTCGGAAGACGCTAGCCCTAGCAACGGCGGGACACCGCCGCCCGACAGCAACAACACAGCCGGAAGCAGCGGCGGCGGCGGCGGCGGCGGCGGTGGACGTGAAGCGAACGGAGCGGCGGCTTCGTTGCCGTCGACGGTAGGCCATGGCGCACCGCCATCTTTGGCATCACGTGCTCTGAACTGTTTCTTGTTTCTTGTCGTTTTTGTTGTTGTTGTGGTTGTTGTTGTTGTGTGTTTCGATTTATATTTGCGTCCCCAAAACGAAACACACACAGCACACATATGCAGACCGAGACACCGTGGAATCCCTACCCGTTTTGGGATTGTTGTCTACAAAACAGCAGCCGTAGGTGTTGTGACCTTGTTTTTGCGTGTGAGAAGCTTAAGGCAAAGGAGCATTTCACGTCCTCTGAACTGCTAGTTTCGTGTGTGTTTCGATATTTGCGTGTGAGAACTTGAAGGCAAAAGAGGCATTCGCGTGCTCTGAACTGTCCCTTTGTTTTGTGTCTTTTGATGTTTGCTTGTTAGAAGTTGCAAGCAAAGACGCATTCATATGGTCCGATACTTTTTCTTGTCTGTATTCAACATTCTGGGCGTGAGAAATTCGCATCGCTGGCTGGAGCTTGAAGGAATGTAGAGTAGCGAAGTCCAGTGGTGACCCCACAAAAACAGTAACCGTCGCAGGTTATTTTTCAGATATCACACCCCCTGAACCGATTTTCGAAGCTCGATTTCTCGGCAGGAAAAGCAGTGACGGTGCCGAAAATGGCGGTGTTCGAACCGTCTCGTCGAGAGCTTTCCCGAAAACACAAACTTTGATGTTTCGGCATCATCTTCTTCGTGGAGTAATCGCGCTTTGAAAATCGGTCCAGGGGGTGTGATGTATGATCAGTGCCCTTCGCAGGGTTTTTGAAATAAGCAAACATGTTGGATAAAGCATACAATCGGGGAAATTGGAGTAGGGTTAGGGTTAGGGTCAGGGTTAAGGTTAGGGAATAGGGCCCGCTTCCCCCCTCCCTCTGTTTATTTCCGCACAAACTTATCTATTTATTTTTTTCTCGCGCGAAGGCGGTCCCACAAGAAGCACGCCTCTCAACTCGAACTCCCTCACACGCCTCTCAACTCGGACTTTTTTTGTTTTGTTTCTCGCTTGTCTCGTCGTCGTCATTACATACATACGTATGTATTCGTATTGTGGACCTTCGGGTGCGGCAGGGTTCCGAGGACCGGTCCGCGGACCGTACCAGAAAGATCAAGCAGGTCTGGATTCGAGCAGCCGAGCGCCGAGCACAGATCTCGTGAGCAGCCAATGACCGCAGCGGATCGGACCAAAGTCAGTCAATCAATGAGCGCAGCTGGTCACACCTAGTGGACCAATGGCCGCGGCGGGTCGCAGTTCGTGAGCTAATTGGTGTGCACGGCTGGTCGTCGGATCTCGGGAAGTCAAGCACCGGTCGATGGTACGGGCTGGCGCAAGTTTTGTGAGGCGCTGGACATCTGGACTCGGATGTTGCGCGAGATTACGTCCGATCTTGTCGGGTCGGGTGATTCATTCATGTTCGGTTGTTTTGTTTTCTGAGGAAATTTCTCGGAATTTTGGCGAACCACGGTGTGCGTGAAATGTTTGAAGGACGGGGGTACGAAAATCGTCGTGTTTGTGTATCGTTGTGTGGCGTTTGTGTGCTGTTTTGTGTTTGCTTTTTTGGTGTGGTTCGTGACGCGGCAGCGGTAGCAGCAGCAGCAGCAGTGTGTCTGTGTGTGTGTTTCCCAACAGAATTGAAGAAATCAATCTGACCTGTGCGTCAGATACAGGGGGGGGGCAAGAGTGTGTGCCGTGCCTTACCGACAGCGAAGAGCAGAAAACAGATGAGCTGTGCAGCCGTCTTGCTTGTCTTGTGTACGTGCGTTCTTTTATTTTGGTGGTTCGTCGTATGAATGGCCCTGCTCACGCAGGGCTGCCTCCAATCCGAGGTCCCGTTTTCGTTTGGGCGTGGGTGGGTGGTTGGTTTCGACGAGCGAATGAAGTGATTTCCAAGGCAAACGGCACAAGACTTGCGTTGCGCTGACAGTTGGCGCGCGGCTTTCTTTGCCGAGGTGTTTTTTCTTTTTATAGTTTATCGTACAGCCAGCAAGCCACGCAGTTTTTTTTTTTTTTTTGAGTGCAGCACGGCGGCTATTGTTTTTTTGTTTTCCGTGGGGGGTGTTGGCAAACGCAAGAAGATCCGGGATCTCAGTGGATGGCGTTGTCGGCTGCCGCTGCCTCTGCCGCTGTTGTTGGTGCGACTGCTGCTAGCCGCTGGTGCTGGTGCGGCTGGTGCTGGTGCTAGCTGCTGTTACTGCTGCGGCTAGCTGCTGTTACTGCTGCGTTGTTGCGGCTGCTGCTGCGGGCGGGACAAGTCACGCTTGCGGCGGCACCAACACGAGCCTCTGGCCAGTCGTTCGTTGTGTCTGGCGCATGAAAGAGGGCAGAACGCTTGTCGTCTCTTGCGAGGTGCGCCCCACGCATGCCTCCGGCGGTTGGATTGTCGGGGGTCGAGAGGGGTCGCCTGTGACTGTCGGAAGAAGCCCCCCCCCCCTCTTTTTTTTTTCTTGCATGCTTCTTGTCATTTCTTCTCAGTTTAGTAAGGGGCGGGGGCTTTCTTATTCTTCCCCTCAGATTGCTTGGAAGAGCGTTGTGGTGGCGGCGCACCATGTCGTCATGGCCGCGGCAGCGGCGGTTCGCCAGCTGTTACAGCTAGCACGCTCCCTCTTCCTTTTTTTGTTGGGTGGCATGCACACGTGGGGAGAGATCAGACGGGCTGCCGCTGCCGCTGCTGCTGCTGCTGCTGCTGCTGCTGCTGGTCGTGGTATCCAGGTACTGCAGTAGCCCGGGCATCCGGTCCCGTTTCTTTTTTTTTTTTTGATTGATGGCCGTTACGTAGCGGCGAGAGAAAGAAAAGGGGGAGAGAGAGACATGAGGAAAAATACACTTGGCATGGTGGTGGAGCTGACGTATGGCAAG